TGACTGTCCCCCAAATGTCCATGTGATTAGAAGCCTTGGTCCTCAGTCTGCGGTGCTACTGGGAAGTGGTGGAATCTTTCAAAGGTGGGGCTCGGGGGAGGGTGTTAGCTCATGGGGGTCATGCCACTGAAGGGAGCACTGGGACCCTGTTCCTTCTGTTCCCCTACTTCCCACCTTTACTAGTATAAATACTAAGTTTTATGAACTCTAGATAAATACTTAATTTTATGTTATTGATGTTAAATATTGTGCTTCTGTTAGTGGAGATAAAGTTCCACTTAGTAGGCATTTATTGTAGGTCAGTAATAGGTCAATATTTGATTTATTACTCATAGTAAATTTTAGATCTCTTCTCTTTGGACAAAGATTATACTTTATTGGTCCTTGGGTTTGTCATACTGAGTTTCTATTTAATGGTATAACTGATGCAAATGTCATTACTATAGCAAAGATGTCATAGATGTTGCTCTTGATTGTTGTTGTTTTTTTTTTTTTTTTTTTTTTTTTTTTTTTTTTTTTTTTTTTTTTTTTGAGATGCCAATATCTAGGTTGCCTGGGGTCATTAACCGTACTTGAGAGAACTGGGTATGAGGCCAAACACACTGCAACTCCCCATCTGAAGAAAACAGAGGTGGCTGGATCCTGGGGCAGAGGTAAAGGCCAACAGTTAGCTACACTTAGAGAATGCCACTGTAAAATGGGCATAGCTAAAGAGCTACGCACACTAAAAACAGAACTTTTCATCACCATGAACTCACAAGCCTCAACAACTAAACAAACAAAAATAGAAAGATGAGACAAGCCCACAAAAGACCTCCAATAACTCCCAACTCCCCAAAAGCTGGTCCATAGGGCATCAAATTGGAGAAAACCAAAAGCCTCACAATAGAATTATCTACTTTTCCTTGGAGCCAGGCTACTATGGACTGAAACCTTTACAAACCGTGAGCCAATAAAACTCTCCTCCTTTAACTTGTAGGCATCAGCTATTTTGTCTCAGCAGTGACAAAGTAAGCAAGACAAGAGACAGCTTAAAAGCAAGAGCACATGGAAAATGGATCTTTATAGCTTTGAATGCTTACATCACCAAAACAGAGCAAGCCCAATCTAATTATGGATCACAACGTTCTAGAAAAACAAGAACAATTTAAACCCAAAGCTAGTATAAGAAAATTATAAAGATCAGAGCAGAAAGGAATGAAATGGGAACCAAACGAAAAAAAAAGTGCAAAAAATTAATGAATTTAAGAGGTGGTTCGTTGAAAGAATATATATACCCTTACCTAGTCTAATTAACAAAAGAAGAAAAAAGACCCAAAATCAAAGAAATTAGAACTGAGTAAAGTAAAATCACAATAGACATTGACAAAATAAGAATCATTACTAATAAATACTTCACAAATCTGTACATAAATAAATTGGAGAATTTAGAAGAAATAGATTCCTAAATACATATGAATTATCAAAACTGAATCAAGGGCATGTACAAGCCTTGAAAAACCCAATAAAAGGCAATGAAGTTAAAGCAGTAATAAATAATCTACCAGCTAAGAAACGCCCAGGTCCAGAGGAGTTAACCGATGAATTCTACAAAAATTTCAGGGAAGTTCTAACACCAATACTCCTCAAGCTTTTATAAAATTGAAAGAGAAGGCAAACTCCCATAGTCATGCCTGGAACCTGTTATTATTCTGATTCCAAAACCAGATAAGAATAAAACCAAAGAGGAGAACTATAGACCAATCACTTTAATTAATACAGAAGAAAAATCCTCAATAATATAATGTGACAAATCATCAAAAAGTTCATACAACATACCCAAGTAGGCTTCCTACCAGGGATGCAACGATGGTTCAACATATGAAAACCAATAAATCACATAAACAGAAGTAATGACAAAACCACATAATCATCTCAATAGATGCAGAAAAATCCTGTGATGAAATGTGATTTCTATTCATGATAAAAACACTGGAGAAAATAGAAAAGTCAACAGAGTTCCTGTACACTAATAATGAACCCACTGAAAAAGAAATTAGGGAAAAATGCCATTCAGAATAGCACCAAGAGAAATCACATGCTTACAAATTAACCAAAGAAAGTAAGAGGTCTGTACAATGAACACTACTGAACTCTGAAAAAGGTAATTGAAGAGGATATCATAAAATGGAATGATATCCCCTATTCCTGGATAGGCACAACCAATATTGTCAACATTGCCATATTTCCAAAATTGATATACAAATTTAATGCAATCCTAATCAAAATTCCAGTAGCATTCTTCACAGAACTGGAGTAATCAATCCTAAAATCCTAAAATTCATATGAACCAGAAGGGACCCAGAATAGCAAAAGCAATCCTGGGTAAAAAAAGCAAAGCAAAAGCCATTGCTACCCTGGTGAAGTTATGTTACAAAGCTACTATGATAAAAAACAAACAAAACAAAAAACAGCATGGTACTGGCACAGAAGCAGATGTGAGGATCAATAGAACAGAATAAAGGCAGAAACAATTCCAGGTATATTTAACTGTTTGATCTTTGACAAAGGGTCCAAAAACACACACCAGAGGAAAGACAGCCTCTTTAATAAACATGTAGGGAAGACTGGCTTTTCACATGTAAAAGACTGAAGCTACACCTACATCTTTCACTGTGTACTACAATAAAATCAAAATGAATCAAAGAACTAAGCGCTAAACCAGTAACATTGAACCTGGAAGACAAGATAGGAAAATCTCTTGAAGTCATTGACATGATCAAGCACATTCTAAATAGAACCTCAGTTGAACAGGACACGTTCTGAGCATCAACTAATTCAATCATATGAAATGAAAAATTTTCTGCATAGCAAAAAAAAAAAAACAAACAAAAAAACAAGAAACAGAGTTAAAAGACAACCTACAGAATGGGAAAAAATATTTGCAAGTGACTCCTCAGATAAAGGACTCATATTTAGAATATATACATAATTTTAAAAATTAGACACCCCCAAATAAAAATGCAATCATAAAATGGGCAAATGAAATGAATAGACATTTTACAAAAGAAGTATGTGAGTTCAATAAAACATGAAGAAATGTTGAGAATCACTGGTCAATAGAAAAATACAATTAAAACAACATTGAGATACCATCTTACCCCAGAAAGAATGCTCATCATCAAGGAATAAAATAACAACAAATATGTGAAAGGCTCTGAGGAAAAAAGAAGGCTTCTACTCTGTTGGTGGGAATGTAAACTAGTAAAACCACTATGGAAATGGGTATAGAGATTCTTCAGAAAACTAAAACTAAAAATTCCATTTGACCCATCTATTCCCCTTCTAGGTATCTTGCCAAAAGGGTTAAAGACATTACAGAGATACATGCAGACTCATGTTTATTGCAGCACAATTCAGACTAGCTAAATGTTGGAGGTGGCCCATATGTACATCAAAAGATCAATGGATAAATAAAGTGGTATTTACACGTACACACCCTGGAGTACTATATTAGCATAAAAAGGATAGATATGAGTCCTTTGTAGGAAAACAGATCCACCTTTAAGCCATAATGTTAAGTGAAATAAATCAGACATAAAAGCCTAAATATTGCATTGTTTTTCTTATTTGAGGAGCCCAGTTTAAACATAAAGAGCCAAATAAAAGATAGACAATAGGAAGTAAGGGGATACATCAATCTCAGTGTGGGGGGGTCAAGAGATGGAGGAAAGAGCAAGAAGTGGATGGTAAGGGGTGATAAAAGGGAATTGGGATGTATAATATATTTGGACAAACCCTGCCGAAGGAATTTGAACATTGTGTAATAGAAACCAGTCCAACAAGAAAAGGAAGGCTACGCAGGGATAGGCAGAAGAGGGATGGAGGTTTGGGAAAGGGGATGAAAAGGGACATAAGACTAGATCTGTACGTGTATCAACTTATCACAGTAATGTAAGCATTATGGACGACACACACATATACAAATTAAGTAAAATCACAATATAAAAATTGATTAAGAAATATGTATTTACTAATCCTCCCCAGATGAAATGTAAATTTTGTGTTTTGCAAACATATATGAATAAAAACGCTTGGGGGAGTGTGAAAAATAAATTATTCTCAAAAAATTTTTAAAAACCCTAGAAATTCTATAATTTAGCAGTATAACATTGAATTCTGAAACAGCACAACCCGTAGGCAGGAGAAAAAATAATCAGGTATTTTGTTCAAGACATATTCATTTCTGTTTGTTTTACTGGTCCCTTATATATGAACATACTTTCATGAATAAATCACAATTTAAAAATCCAAAATAAAAAATACAAATCATTAAAGTTTGAAAATAGAATCTAGTAACAGAAAAATCAGAACAGTCTAGCAACAAAATGGTATTTAGAATGCTGGACTGGCCATATTCTCCTGACCTTGCGTTCCATTTACTTAACAAAAAGCACTCTTTCCAGTTTTTGCTTCTTTAAATAATAGATCCCCTTTTGGAGATCACAATCCAGTCAAGAAATATTCTCAAATCACAATGAGTAATAAGTGATCATTGAAAATAGCAAAGTTATGACACTTCAAAGGATAACACACAAAGCAACGCCAAGGAACTATAATTTGAGTTCCTCATAAACCACAGTTCAGTCTGTTACTCACTTCTTTCAAATCAGGATAAAAATGGTTTTGGTCTCTGCAATAGTTGGAACTTAAATTTCCCCAAAAGGTCCATGGGTTAAGGTTTGCTTCACATAAAGTGCTTCATGGGGGTAGTGGGACCTTTTAAAAAAAGGGACCTTGTGTGAGGTGCTTTAATCATTGCGGGGTGCCTGGAAGGGAACTGTGGGACTCCAGTTCCTCTCTCCCTTTCACTTCCTGGTTATGAGCTGAGCAGTTTTACTTGACCACTGCTCTAAAGCTTTCTAAGAAACCTCAAAGCAATTATTACCTAATAATAGACTGGCACTTCCAAAACTGTGAGGCAAATAATTACCACAGGTATTTTGTCATAGGGATGGGGAGCTTACTAACACAATCTCCACTGTAACAAAGTAAAAGAGGAAATCTTGGTCAATCTCTGTGACAAGGCATCTGTAATCCAAGAACTCAGACTGCAATGGATCTATGTAAGTATCTGCATAGCATCCAACAGGGATCAGGGTCCTGAGAGGAGCACAGTAGTCAGCCGGCTGACTTGTTTCATTTTGTTCTGTGTCAGTCAGCAAAAGGGAGAGCAACCTAAAGAATGACAGAGAAAAGATGTGAATGTGTGTTTAATTCAATCCCAATGTCTTCTTTGAAATAATTGGGTTATATGTCCATCTATTGGCAGTCTTTAAAATGCAACAACACAACACTTCAACAAAACATAAAAGTGAAGCCTTAAAGAAAATAGGATGATTCTCACACAAGAAATGAAATCACTGAGACCCAGAAATGGACCACAACTGTACCCAGCTGGCCAGTGGCCATACTGGAATTAGACAGTACTGTAAATCTCTTCTGAGGTGAGCTCATACCTTTCTCTTTGGCATGTGACATTCTTGGCTGCTTATCATGTGTCATCTATGAGGACAGAAAAGGTAAAAGACTGAAACTTCATGGCAACTTTATCCTTTAAGTACTTCACTGAATTTTATTTATTTAGCCAGAAATCATAAACCTGAAGCCTCAAGTATACATTGTATCCATTTTATTTATTTTTTTAGTACACGTTGGAAGTACAGTATGACTATAATCCTCATGGGAAGTTGGTACAGGTACATAACACATCACAATTCTTTTTCTTTTCATCTCCTCTTCCTTTCCACCCCTCTTAACTCCATCTCTTGGTCCCTGATATTGCACGCTAAAGGCTTTAAAAAAAAGTTTTCTGATTTTTTTAAAATGGAACATGAGAGTGATATAGCAGAGTCCTGGATGCAGTGACTTTTAAATGCCTCTATCATCTGAAAAAGCCAAGTAAAGGATGGGAGTTTATTGTCTACACTTAAATGACACTTTTTTCTCTGATGTTTTTCTTCAAACAAACAGCAATTTTCAAATATAAGAGAGCCCCAGCAGACCACTGCCAGCTGATATTAAGAAGCACAATTGTACAGAAAAAATAATTTGGCTGAAGATTCATTCTTATTTCAAATGTGCTGATGAGGGCAAAAGAAGCATGGTCTCAATAGCTTTAGATGTCACAAAATCTCAACAAACGTGGCCGCCATAGTGACAGAGCTCATGGTGGGACTAACCCATACATGAGCTCCCCATCACACTGAGATGATCCCTACTGAAGGGTAACAAACTGTTCCTAAACCAGAAGAGGATGGTGCACAGAAGAAGCAAGAACTTAAGGCCTAGGAATAAATTCAACAGAAAATAAGTACAAATGAAAGAAAAAAGAAAGGAAGATGGAGGAAGAGAAAGAAAAGAAAATAGTGGAGGAGATAAAACACAGTGAGATTTTGTACCCTTTTTTAGCTACACCCACCTTCCATCCTCCCCTATATTTATTTATGTTTCCTTGCCTTCACTAATGCAGACATCATCAGAAGCTGCTAATTCACAGAGCTGATTGAATTGCTCATGATGATACATTTCAGGTTCAAATTAGTATTGACTAAATTATGTGTAGTTTCTGATGATGAATTACTCATTTTCTTTTGAAATCTGAAATTTCAAAGTAAGACAGATAACAAATTTAATTAAAATTTTATCTTCTGCTTTTTACTATGACAGGCAAGAATAAATGTATATGTATGATTATTATAATTTTATTTCATCTCTCCAGAGAAGTTCACAGAGTACCTGAGGTTATCTACAAAGAATATAATATGGCATAACTAAGTTTTCTTTTCCCTGCTGCTGTCTCCTGCATAAAGATAGTGCATCTTAAATGCTTTCACCATATGTGTTCATGACTCTCCAATGTGTACACAACCACACATACTACCTTAAATGGTTATTAAGTGTAACTGTACTATGATAAAAATAAGAACAAATAATGTGCAGTATTAGGAAAGGAAAATTAAACTGCCAAACACAAAAGAAGCAGAATATCTACAAAAAGAATTGGAGTGAGCAGTAAAGTTATAGGCCACTATTGCACCAGCAAATCTACCCCAGCACTTCTCTGGAATATGTCATGGGACTAGGGTAATTCACAGATGGGTCTTAATGTTCCCTGTATGGGTTTATCTTCTAATATCAGATATGAAGGATGGTTGTTGAGACATTAGGGAATTATGAGATCAAACTCTATATAAAATTATGTCATTAATTTATCCCCAAATACTGAATAAATAACTATGTAAACTTTCCAAGATCCCTTTCTATCTTCTCAATCTTTGGTGGAAGATCTCCACATTTTAGGATTCTTTTGATTCCATGGGTAAGGAGAAGTGAGGAAAGGTGATATCATAATCTATGTTATATGACACACAACTATTGAATAACTACTGTCTTTGTAGAGGGCACTGCTGTAAATAGAAAGGTTTATCTTAACATCATGTCCTTTTAGAACACTAAGTCTGTACCTTAATTGGCATAATCAACATAACACCCAGCTGTGCATCCTTCTCACTGTACCCTCATCATCCCTGTGACTTTTTTTACTACATAAAACTCTCAGGTTTTTTTCCCCTTAGTGAAGTACTAGAATAATTTTTGCACCACTTTTTGTTCTCTGGTCAAGTTAATCCACTTCTTTTTCTTTGGCTCTTTCCTATTGTTATTCTGTGTCTTTTTTGAAATTCTTTGATGTCATGTTAATACAGTATACATATGTGAACCCCTCTCCCATGGTGTTTATCATTACAGTAACTCATCAAGATATATAGTGGATAGGAGGCCAGGTATGGACCCAGGCTGCCCAGACCTTTCCATTCACACTGCAACCTTAGGCAATTCACTTGACAATAATGTTCTTTAGTTTCTTCATCATAAATAGGGAAAATTATAATTCCTGATTGCTAATTATGGAGAGAATTAAATGCATTAATACTTAATACTTGGAAAGATTTTAGGTGTGTCATTTCCAGACAAGCCAAACAATGGCATCTTCTACTTAACTATGAGTAGATATAAAATGCATGCTACCTAAAGGTTCTGAAAAAATACGCACAATCAAGAAAGTTGTTGGAAGGAGTTAAAATTTGGATAAGTTGACTGTATGAGGCTGAATGGTTCATTTTTCTATTTTTCTTATAGTTTTGATTTAAGGAAACTTCCTAGATTAGTTACTTTCCCATAGTTGGGGCAAAATACACAATATCTACACTTTAAAGGAGGAAAGGTTTATTGGGTTCGTTTTCAGTGGATTTCTTTCATGGCCCTGTGGTTCCAGGGCAGAAACGGCACGAGGGAAGGATATGATATAGGAAAGCTGCACACCCCATGGTAGTCAGGAAGCAGAAAGGGAAGGGAGTATCCAAGCACACTAATACACCCATCCAGGCCACCCCAGGGACCCACCTCCAACCTGGCCCCACCTCCTAAGCGCATGTTCAGGCATGAATGCATTGATGGATGAATCCATTGATGAGTGCAGTGCCACAGGCTCCAATCACCTTCCGAGACTTCCTGGAAAAATTTTAGGTCTAAATCGGAGCAATTTCCAATTTTTGGCATAATCCAATGAATACATTTTTTAAAAAATTAAAAAAACTGAAACTATATAAAGCTAGTTCTCAAATTATAAGAATATGAAATTAGAATAAATAGCAGAAATATATCTAGAAAATATAAATATCTGCAAACTAGGCAACACATTTTTACATCAGACCTTTGTAGAATGCTACTAAACTAGTATTTACAGAAAATGACACATATAAGGAAGTAAGTTTCAAATAAATGAAACTTCTAGTTTAGAAAAATAGAGTATATTAAACGCAAAGCAAACAGGAAAGAAAGTAATAAAAAGCATAGCAAAAATCAATACAATTTAAAATTAAATCAATAGATAAAAATCACTCCTAATTCATTGAAAAGAAAATTAATAAAATTGATAAACTACTAGTCTGACGTAGCAAGAAAAATGTTCATATCAGGAATGGAAGAGGAGGCACCATTATGGATTATGGGCATTAATATAATAAAAAGAAATATGATGACAATCTTATGAAGATAGAGACATTTAGACTAAATATATTAATATATATTAATATATATAATGTGTCACTTAGTGACACAACCAAATATCATTTTTTTAAATCCTTGATAATCTTACTAAGCTCGTGCTTGCTATTGAATTCATCTGTAAAAGCTACAATGAATATGTCAGGCTTTCTTAATGAGTTGTACAAAAATGTTCAAGAATAAACAATACATTGTACAAGCTCTTCCAGAAAACAGGATAAGGGAATATTTTCCAACTCATTTTATGAAACCAGCATTAACTGATATCAAAATTGAAAACAACAATAAATACAGAGCAATACTTTTCATGAATTTAAATAACAAAAAAGCAACTAATTATTACCCACTGAAAAATGTAATGCAACAGTCCAATAAAGGAAGTATATTGAATGATCTAATCAGCTGTTCTCCCTGGTATATAGAAAATGAGATTGCCTAAGAGTCAATAAAGACTCAAAGCCTAAAAAGACCAGCTATACCTGGAAGATATCTCTGAGAAGCAATCACTCCATAAGGGCTCTAAACACAAGTACTAAAGATACTCACAATAAGAAATATTGAAGTACTAGCTCAAGAATTAAACAAAAGAAACAGCACCAACAACATTAGAAATTAGAAGACACTTTGGCAAGGTGCAAACCCAGACTTCCAGCTCACCAAAGGCAAATACTGGGGTAAGTGATGTGGAGAGGTCTGATAATCAATGACCTAGACACACTGAACTGACAGCATAGGAAGTAGCAAAGCAGATGAATGAGGCACTAGAAAAATTCAAAACAGAAATAATTTTCCAGATAACTACAGAGATGATGAATAGAATGAAAGACATGATTAGAGACTATAGAACAGAAACAGACAAAAAATAGATGAGTTCAGGGGCCATAATAGAAGCCACGAATGCCCAGCATAGGAAAGAAATGGAATCCATAAAACAGATATCTAGGAGATTAAAAACTCTATTGAAAGTATACACTGAAGACTGAGTCAATCTGAAGACAGAATTTCAGACATAGAAGATAGGATGGTGGTCAGTGACCAGGAAAAGAGAGATCTCTTAAAAATAGTAAGAGAACATAAGAAATCAATCCAACAGCTCCTAGATGACACAAAGAAAAATAATATAAGACTGATAGGAGTCCATGAAAAAGCAGGAGAAAGTACAAATGATATTAAAAAAAAAAACTTCACAGAATTAATGAAAGAAAACTTCCCAAACCAAGCAAAAGAATTTGCTTGATAACTGAGGCATATAGGACTCCAACTAGCCATGATTTAAAAAAAAAAATCTGCACATAGACACATAATAATAAAGATCCTGGAAACTGAACAGAAGAGCAAAATACTATAAGCAGTTAGAGACAAGAAATAAATCACATGCAAA